TGTGGGCTCAGTTTTTTTATTATCTGTCTTAAGCAATCTACGCCCATAAAGATTAAAAAAATAATAATAAAATTGCCTTCCGGTAGATTCTGACTCATAGTGATCCTCTAGGATAGATCTGCCCCCATAGAGTTTGCAAAGTTGTAAATCTTTGCAGAAGTGAACTGCCACATCTCTCTCCCATGGAGCCACTGTTAAGTTTGAACCTCCCACCCATCTTTTGGTTAGCAGCCAGGTGTTTAACCACTGCACCACCATGGCTCATTTCATAAAGATTGCAGCCTAGGAAACCCTATCGGGCAGTTTTACTCTATCACATGAGGTTGACCAGGCACCTAACAACAACATTTTAAAGATGATGAAACCAAGGTTCAGAAGGTTTAAGCCACTTGCTTGGTTGGCAGACAGCAGAGCCAGGACACAAGCCAATGTGGCAGGACCACAGTGTGTGCTCTTAACCATGACACCAAAATGATAGTTACTCTGTAGATTCCCTCGGGGTGCATATGGTTAGAGACACCTTGGAAGAAAGACCTGGCAATTTGCTTCCCAAAATTAGCCATCAAAAGCCCTGTGGAGCCCAGTTCTGCTCTGACACACACGGGTTACTGTGGGTCAAAGGGTGTGTTCAGATCAGCCTGTGTGGTTGAGTATGTTCCTGGCCTTCCTGTAAGATGCTGGTGCCTGAGAGCTATTCCAGCCCTTGGCCTCTCAGAGTATATTCCATGGGCCAGCAGCATCAGCATCACCTGGGAGCTTGTTAGAAATGCACAGTCTCAGGCCCCACCCCATGCCTGCATTTAAAAAAAATCCCCAGGTGAGTCCTATGTACATTGTTGTCTAAGAAACTGATATCTCCTGTCCCAAACACGAGAGGAGAAGGATCAAGATCACCTCTCCTAAGGGCAGCATTGTTCTCTGCAGTACATGGCCCTGCCCCTGCCACTTACTTGCTTCTGAAGTGTTAGTGGCTGCCACTATGATAAGCCAAGAGGTCACCACCACCACCGTCAGCATTGAGGACAATGAAAAAAGTCGCCCCATTATTTTTGCTTTTCACTGCTACTTCTGGTGCTAGGAAGTCCTGCCCAAAGACAGGAAAGACTAGCCCCTCAGGGTTTCCTCGTGGTCTCTGATCCCTGAAGTCCTGTGAACAGAGATGGATAGAATAAATCTATGACTTAATTCCACTCCCAAGTTGAGAGGAGTGCTATGGCTGTGGCCTATGCAAATCCAGGAATCACCATGTCTATAGACCACAAAGAACGTGCAATGTAGTGATCCTGGCTTTGGTGGTTATCCCCCCAACGGTGGCGCCACCTTCCCTCCCATTCACATCCCCACCTTGGCTCCCCAGAGATAAGCACATTTGGAAGGACTGAGTCTCTTTATTCGAAGCCGGAAAACATGAAGATGGGTGGTGTTCTGGACTTGTCACCTTACTGAAGGCAGCTTTAGATTTTAACAGTTGACTCCTGTCCCCTGCTGGGAAAAATGTTCAACCTGCCCAGATCCATTTATTCATTCAGCAAATATTTATTGAATAGTTACTATGTGCCAAGCATGAAGCTGTCTTGAGGTAAGCAACTGGAGAGGTAACAAACCTTCACAACACATGTTAACATTTTCAGAGTGATTATGTATTATTTCATAATATTACATATTATCCCATTGACAAAATAATACTAGATGGATGCTATTATCCCTGATCTTACAGCAGTAAAATAGGGTAGCATGTGGTTAAGTGTGTGGGACCTGGAGCCTGCAACCAGGATTCAAAACCATGTTTCACCAGTGACTGGCAACGTGGCATTGCAGAAGGTATTTCAATTCCTTAAGACTCAGTTTCCTTGTCTGTGAAATGGGGATCATTGCTTCCACAAATTGAGTGTCTACTATGTGCCAGCCTCAGTTCTAAGACATCCCTGTGCTCAAAGAACATGGGTCCTAGATCAGTGTTGTTTAATCTTTTTCACTATGACCTACAATAAGAAAAACAAAAATGTATGTCATGACCAGTGAGATTGCACACACATTCTCACACAAAAACCAAACCAAAACAATATTTATCCTTACTATGTGCATTGCTTGTAGACATTTTCTATTCTATTTAATTGAAGGAAAATACCATATACAGCCCGCTAAGGATTTAATGATCCACTGATGCCTAATATTCCCATGGAATTAATTCAGAACATACATGTAAAGCAGGGCTCAGTACACAGAAAATGCTCCTGTTCACTGCTGTACCCCAGCACCTGGTAGATAGTAGGCACTTAACAAATATTTATTGAATGAATGAAAAGCATATTTGACATTGTTATTAGGAAAGCTTAGACTCAGAGAGAGGGAGACTTACCAGAGATTACAGAGCCAATGAGTAGAGTAATGACTCTAACATCCAAAGTAATTTCCTCTCTCTCTCTCCCAAACAGAATGGGTGCCAGTAATAGATGGAAGGCAAGCTGGCTTAAGAGCAGAGAGCTGCAGACAGCCTTCCTGAAGCCAGAAGGTGGAACTGGTGCGTTCACAAGCATTTGCCACCTATATATACATATTGACCCCTGGCTAGAAATCTCTCCTCCAATTATCCTCTGGTTCTGTTTCTTCAGATAATTACCTGGGGGTGGAATTTCTTTCTTTCTTTTTGCATAGTGTTTTCATTTTCTAGCCTGTGAGATTGTTGTTCTTTTTCCTAATAGCTAGAGACCCCAAGTGATTGACATTGGGGCTCACACCTGTTCTCAGAAATACAAGGTCTCTGTTTTGCACCTTTGGGGAGCAATAGATTCCTTAGTTAGAAATTAACTGGGAAAGCAGTGCCAAGGTACTGAGTTTATTTCTAGGAACCTGGCAAGGACAAGGTGGACCTAAGGAGCCAGGCTGAGACCAGTGAATGCAGCCAGGCTGCACAGGGCAGAATAAATGTTCATGTCCCCACTGAGGTGTGCTACTATGATCACTGGGCTTCCCTGCCCTGGAGCGGACCCCCTTTTGAAATACACCCATCCTCAAGTGCTCAGTGACCTTCCTGCTTCCAGACATGAGCAGGAGTTGAGAATGGCAGAATGTCAAAGATAGAAGATAACACAGACATCTTTGGATCTAACCCACTCCATGGAATGAGAAATCTGAGGTCCAATGAGGGAGGTCCTTTGGGAGGTGGAATAACTTCAGGATTAAATACAGAGACTGGACTCAGACAGTCTGAATGTCTGAACCCTGCATCATCTAACCTTTTTGAGGTTATTGTCCTCATCTATAAAATAAAGATGTAGTGGATAAGGCATTTGGTTTCTAACCAAATGGTCCATGGTTTGAATTCACCAGCCACTCCATGGAAGAAAGATGAGACAATCTTCTTCCGTGAAGATTTATAGCCTTGGAAACCCAATGAGGGTCACAACGAATTGGAATTGACTCGATAGCAAAGACTTGTTTTGTTATTTTCTTTTGAGTGACAGTGCTGTCGTAAGACCCCCGGGTGACACAAATGATTAACCCATCAACACTCCTTGGAAGGAAGACTAGGCAATCTACTTCCATAGAGATACCACTTCAGAAACCCAAGGAGGGGTTGCTATGAGTTGGAATTGACTTGAGGGCAGTGACTTTTTGCTTTTTCTGCTTCTGTAAACATAACAGCCAAGAAAATCCTACGGAGCAGCTCTATTCTGTAACACATGAGTCAGAATCTACTTGATGCAATGCATTTGGTTTTGTTCTTTTGTTTGTTTATTTTAGGGCTGACATGGTGTTTAAAGAAGAGGATGCAAGTGAAGAAACATCGTCATGATTTCTTCGGTGGTACTTACTGCAATTGCTCCTTTGTTGTTGTACAATCATAGGTAGAAAATACCAGAGCCTGGTCTCATGTAGGCTACACAAAAATCAGTGAAAGAGTGGACAGCAAGCACACTCAGAATGACTACCTGTGGTCTGAGCAGTGACTCAACAGCATTGCCTTTTTCAGGAACTTTCTCATCCTGTCTCACTCAGTGGTGTGTTAAGCACCAGTACACTGGTGTAATCTATTGCCTTGGGCTAAATTCCCAGAAGTAAAAATTCTGAGTCAAAGAGGTGGCACAACGTTAAGAAATCCCTCACAGACATCCCAACACCATGGGAGAGAGATCCAATAGATCTACTGTCACAACCATAGTACTAGGGTACACTGGATTCAATTGGCACAACAAAATATATAAAAGTGTTGCTCCACATCCTACATTGGTGAGTAGCAACTGGGGTCTTGAAAGCTTTCAAGCAGCCATCTAAGATGCAGCTAATGGTCTCCTAGCATCGGAAGTGAAGAAGAATGCACACACACACACACAAAGAACAAGGGCATTAAGAAGCAATCAACCCTGGGACACGATGGCCCTTGAGACCAGAAGAACAAGATGGTGCCCAGCTACCAATGCCAACCACTCAGGAAATGATCAAATCTGGAGATCCTGGATAGAGTGGGAGGGAAAACATGGAACAAAATCCAAAAACTCAATGTTGTTGTTATGTGCCATCGAGTTGGACCCGACTCATAGTGACCCCTCTTTGGGTTTCCAAGGCAGTATCACTATGGAAGTAGATTGCCCCATCTTATAATGACCAGAATTACTGGTCAGATGAAATCTGGTGAGACTCCCAATACTATGGCCCTGAAATACATTTGGTGCCTGGAATAAAACTCACCCCCGGGGTGGGCTCTCACTCCAACAGTTAACAAGATGTACACGCAGACCACTCAACCCAGGATGCAACACCCACACACTCAATGGTAATGCATCCCTTACAGCAATAGACCATGGGACACCAAAGGACCAGCATTCAAACTGAGGAAATGCAGGACAAATAGGAGTGCATAATTATGAGGGGCACAGGAGGAGTGTTGCAGGGTAGGGATGAGAGGAGACTGGGTTAAGGTTGGACATGGTGAATGGGAAATGAAACTAAATGTACATGTGACTTTGAATGTAAAACAAGCTCTTAAAATTAAAAAAATAAAATAAAATAATAAGGGAAAAATGTTTTTTAAATA